AAAAATTCTTTTCTTTTCAAAGTATTAAATTAATTTCTTAAAAATCGCAGATTACGGCAAAGTTTGTAAGTTTATGCATTTGTGACGCGTTTTTTTCAAATGTGCTAATGAAGTTAACAAAACTTCATATCTTTTTCAGTTTTGTCATAAGAACCACGTCTACTTACTACATTTTATTCGTGGTCTGAAGTTTTTACCACTCGGATAAGGGATTTTGCTGTTGTGGGGATTTCTGAAACCGGCATTCAGGATTTACAAATAACGGTTAACTTGCCTTACAGGGTTTGCTATGTTCTACCCAAACCTCGCATTTAATGCTACACTTATTAGGGAGAATAAATGAATTATAAAAAGTTCAATGTATTCCCAATTAGATAGGTAAGAACTTGGCGAATTGGACTCTTAAAACTAGTCACAAGAAAGATGTGCCACAGACTTAAGTTTGTATGATTTACTAGTATTTTATCTCGAAAAGAGGTAGTTAAAACCACCTCTCTGCACAGACTGAACTTGATTACGTATATTAAGAGGCAGTTTTTTTCTCTCGTTATCTAAAATGTTCATTCAAGTTGACTTTGTGGCTACTATTCATTTAGATAACGATATCGAAAAAATTGAAATCGTGCAATTCCTATCATAACAAACTTAGGACATTCCATGTTTAGTTTTGCACAGGATTTGCATGCCTGTTCACGCTGCCACCATATAATTTTAAGATTTTTTTTTCTGGACGCCTATTATGCATTTCTATCTTTAACCTTATTCTGAATATCGTAAAGTAATTTTTCATACTACGGTACTCAATTGTTCATTTAGCAGCTACGTACTTACATTTTTGTAATTGCTACTGAAACCGACCTAATCACAAAAGGCTGCCGGCAATATAATATTATATTAAGAAAAGATTCACAACGTTCAATGAATCTTAGTTAACTGATGATAAAAGCATCTCCGTTCATTCCTTGGCAACAGAAGGAAGTTCAAAAAGACTATTGGCAAGCGCTGTGTTTTGAGCGGCCATGACTTAATTATAGTGCAGCAGTGAATTGATGGCTCCTCCTTTTTTAAAAATTCTAACGTAATAATTATATATTATGGCTTTCTAAGCTTTAATATGCTGAAAAAAAGATGAAATTTTAAATGCTTCTGCCCCTAGACTTAACGAATACGCGTACGTACTCGTGTCCATTTATTTTTAATTATCATTATGCGAAAATTTCCAATTAATTTTTACTAATAAATATAAATTCAAAGATATTTTTCGTTAAGTTTATTTCCCTTCCCCTCGAGAGAAATGGTTTCAATAAATCAGTTATATAATTCACACTAAATTCCTCTACGGTAGTTTGACCGAATGGTTCGAGAATTCATGCACATTGAAGTTCATTACAAGACAAGATTTTGATTTTATCGAAACTCTATTCATACACAATAATTTATCTCTATATGCATAGCCTTTATAAATTCACTTAGATTTGGCTTGGCACAATAAGATTGAATTTATAAGCATTTTCATACATCGTTGTCCGAAGACAGTTATTACAATTTTACCTTATCTTCATTGGTGCATCAAATTTGCCGGTGTTGCTTAGCCTTTAAACCTAAATTGACCAATATGAGGCATGTTGCCCTGAAATAATGTCAAAATTTTTAACGGATGAATATTGTGAGCATTGTTCAAATAAAATTCCCGTTAAAAAGTAAACCCAGTGAAATCGAAGCCTAAACAATTTAGGCATGACAAAGGAGAATTATTTTAAGCGAAGGAAATAGCAACTGTCCCAACGGTTTATATGAATATAACGAATATTTATATATTCATTTAAGAATATATATAGAATATAAACATAAAGAAATATTTCAGAATATAAATAATTTTTAGAATATAGATAATTTGTTTGTTCGAAAATTTTTCTTCTTGCAATCAATATTGATACCAGATCAAAAGAATTTGATATCCTGTAATTCCAAATGAACTTTATGTTTTATCTATCTATATTGTCATTAAAAATCCTCCAGGAGCACAACATTACATTCAATATTCATTGTAAAGAAAACTGGATATTTGGAGCTTAGCTTAATTTATATAAAAAATTAATCTATCTCGTTTATATTCTCTATTATTCATATTTAAAGTCGCAAGAAAATATCAAAAATATTTAGTACATAAAATGAAATTGAATCGGTGTAAATCATTAGAGGTAATGACAGCATGGTTCGCAGAAAAAAAGTTTGGGTCAAACACAAGCGAAAAAAATCAATATTTGATCCTCTTCGTCGACGATGTTCCATGTGTCAGTGATGAGAAACTTGGTCACCTCAGGAGGTGATGCTCACCATCATATGTCATTGGAGAGACCTGGGGCGGTACTATCAAAACTCGCTAAGTGAACGTAAGTACTTACGCTCTATTTTCTTGTCTATGATTGGTGGATTTTGCTTGAAAGGCCGTCAATGATTGGCTGATGAACTTACGATCTCTTAACTTTTTTTGAAAGTATATGCCTAGGTCACCGGTGCAGGTGATCCTCACCTTGACATGTCACTATGAAAAATATGTCACCGGTGCAGGTGATGCTCACCTTGACATGTCACAATGAAAAAAATGTCACTGGTAAAGGTGATGCTCACTTTGGCATCTCACTATGAAAAATAGGTCACCAGTGCAGGTGATGCTCACCATGACATCTCACTACGAAAAAAGGGTCACCGGTAAAGGTGATGCTCACCTTGACACGTCACCATGAAAAAATAGGTTACCGGCACAGGTGATGCTCACCTTGACATGTCACTATGAAAAAATAGGTTACCGGTGCAGGTGATGCTTACCTTGACATGTCACCATGAAAAAATAAGTCACCGGCACAGGTGATGCTCACCATGCAAATTTAGTGTAGAAACTAGATCACCGGTACACGTGATGCTAACCAATCGCTGTACAAACCATATCACCACCGCAGTGATGCTCACGAGAACTTGTCACCGCAAAAACTTGATCACCGCGACCGCCTATGCTCCGATGCTCATCACTCAGTGTCAGGGTCAATAAGATGCCGAGCAAGAGGCCGCGCGGTCTCAGCCTCAGTCCGCGTCAGGATAGCTTTCCATTAACAGTGCCTTGTTCTGGGACACCGGCAATATATGTCCTCTCATTTATAAATGATATTGTTATATTAACCCAGCTTTCCGTTAACAGTGCCTTGTTCTGGGACACGGGCGATATATGTCCTCTCATTTATAATGGATATTGTTATAATAACCCTTCATATTTTTATTGATTTTCAACGTATTTCGTCATGATGCTAGACTAATGAAATGATGAGTGGGAGTAGTTTACAGTAAAGATATAAACAGACTTTAATTTGTTTCATACTTTTTTCATTTACTTATTACTCAAAATATGACTAACAATAAGACATAACCCTCGGTATACTGAGTTGAACTATTGATACTATGTAAACATTTATATAAGAATAGCATTGACAGCCATTAATTATTCAATGTAAAGAAATAATACTTTTGAAAAATTTTATGCCACGTAAAAAATTTTTTTTATGCCACACTACCATATATTGTAACTGGATTCCTAACCTTGAAATTTTTAGGAAGTAGAATTTTTGGAAATTTATAATGAAATTCAAAATAACTATTATTGTATGCAAGTTCTCATTCACTCATAAATAACTAATAAAAATGTTATTAATCTTGTAGCTGGAATTCGAAACTGTAAAGTTGTCAAATTTTTGATCAGTAAGTCATTGTCTATAGATATTCTACTTTAAAATGTGTGATATGTATTAATATATATCGATAATTAATCGATATATATATTAATAAATTATTGGAAGAATGAAATTTTATCCGATTGCCACAGTTCTTCATGAGCGGCAGTGCGGTTGACAAGTATTTATCAATTTCGATGGACTCGAGTTTTTACGAATAAAATTTTTGAAAAATAACTCAGGCTTCTCATGACCAGATGAATGGAACATATTGCCGAAAAAATTCATTCCTTAATACTATGATTTTGATGAAAAAAATGATCAAATGAACAGACAGCAAGTTTATTGAAAATTTTTTTTATTTGTACATGTGAATGAATTCCAAGTTACGGGTCATGAAAAGGCTCTTAATATAAGTTGCACTCATTTTATCGAATCAGAGCTCTTTAAAATCTAAAATGATGGAAATAATCTTTTAGTTAAAACTTCATTTGCTGTATAAAAGATACAACATCAATCATCTCTCGTCAGTGCAAGGCTTAATATTGTACTATAATCGATCTACATTTATTAAAATTATTAATACATAAAAAATGTCCGCGCTTGCGTGGATACAAGTTATCTAGGTTGGGTATAATTAATTATTTAGACTATATTTAATTATTTTAGCAATTAAGGTCTGAACTTCGTATTTTGTTGACATTTTTCCGGGTGTGTGGTGAAAATTCCTGTATACACACCAGCACTTGCATCTTTTCTGCAAAAAATGAGTTTCATAGTTCATACGGAAACAATTGTACAAAAAATTAAGAATTGTTTGTAATAGTGCAATATCGGAAATCTTTTTTCTATTTCTTCGGTGTAAATCCCTGGAATAAGCACGTATATATAATAATTATGGAGGCATCTACAAATGGGCTGTAGGAATCCCGTACATATCCCATAGCAACCGACGGGAGTAGAGTTCTCCCGGTGAAACTCTTTGTTAGAAATTTGAAAGGTCAAATCCATTCAAATATGCTAGAGGTGAACTCCGATGAAAATTAGAAATTTGCACGTGTTCGAGATACGTTTTTTTAAGGGATGTATGAGACAGCATTTTTTTAAATTGAAGAAATCTTCTAGTTTTAGCTTGCTACATTTTATTTGGAGTTTGGAAATCTCCGATGACCTTAAAAAATCCTGCAAATTGTACTTCAAAGTCTTCAAAGATTACTTCCAAAGATTCTCGTAAATCCCGGAATTCGTAAAATATTATAACTTTTTGACTTCATCTGATCAAAACTTTTTCAGAGTTTTTACTTTGCAGCTTGAAACGAAAGCTCTAACTTCCAACCTATAATCTAAAAATTTAGTTATACTTCATTAAGTAATTATTTACGAGTCGAGTTATCCCGGTGAAACTCCCAGTAAGAAATGTGAAATCTCGAATGTTTAAACAATATCTTGATATTTGTCCAGAGAAACGTCGCTGGTAGCCTTCACTGCTAGAAGACCTCCAGGAAATAGGTTGGTACGTGCGACCTGAGGTCAAGTTTAGGCATTTGCGTGTGGACGGCCAGAAAAAGCAGTCCGTTTGCTCTGGTAAAGAGGGCAGGTCCTCGACACGATGCATCTCTTCGGCCTTTTCGATGCGTGAGTTGGCAACCTCGATTGTCCTTGACACAATATTATGCTTCATTCATTATTGTGTTCTGCCTCAATTCCTAATATACCTTGATGACACGTAATCTCATGTTGCATTCATCATTGTATTATGTCCGAATTCACGTATAATTTGATCGCACACAATATCGCGTTGCATTCATCATTGTATCAAATATCAATCCGTTATATATCTTATGGATATGCTTTCTTCTTTATATCTTTATATCTTTTTTATATTCTTGATATCTTTATTTCATCAATAATAATTCGTGATATCTTGCGATGACACACAATATCAGGTTGCATTCCGTATTTCATTAAGTCCGAATTCATGATTGATATAAACGATTTGATAAATGTTTGCATAATTTTCTTTGGCTGCTTAATTATTCAAATTTAAAGTTTAACAAAAATTTGAACAGGTTTTTGACTGGGTTGCGAGTAGTGGCATCGCCCGTAATACGTCTTATGTTGATGCAAATCTTAGCTGATGCTCCCTACCAGTTCAACCATCGCACCCTCCCTGAACCACAGTACGACTTCATCGTAGGTGAGTCATAAAATTATGATTCTCAAATTTATTTTTATCTCTGATTTCAAATTGATCACAACTCTTCACTTAAGATTCAGAAAAAATACAATTTTCTGTATTTGCCAACGTCACTGGAGTAAAAATTTACCTGATGTACGGTGTGAAGTAGGTATAACCAATTAATACTTATCAGTTTTGCAATTCAAATGCAATACAAATACAATTCCGTCAATTATATTTTGTTAAGCAACTACTTTTATCAGCTAAAACTGGTAATATTAATCACAAATTCATCAAGAATTGAAAGCAAAGAGAGTAAGTAAATTCATCATGTCTTCATAAAAAAATTCATCATATCTTCATCAAAAACGTTTCTGAGACCAACTCCATCATTGACTTTTATAATTGATAATGAAGCTGGTCACCGCAACGTTTTCGATGAAGATATGGTGAACATATTTAGTGTTTTCATTGCTTTAATATCCTTGATGAACGTAATATTTAAACTGACTACGGATTTAAGCACTAGTTAACGAAGATATGATTGACGGAATCAAATATTTGTTTTATTTCGTAATGATACTCGGTTATAGTTTATAGAATAGTACTGTATGTAAGTATTAATAAGTTCAATTTATTTTATGCATAAATAATTCAAAAATTACATTTTCTTCAATTAAATTTTCATTCCAGCAGAGTTGGCAAATCTGGGAACTGGTAATTTTTGTCCTTGATTCTCCCTAGCAAGCAAGAGTATGAAGGTTAAAAGATAAAAGCATGACTTTTCAAAAAAATAATGTTTTCATTGTTAAAATAGGAAAATAGTGGCTCGATTTGGTGAATTGAACTTATGAAAATAGAATGAATCTCATTTAAAATATGGGTTTTGTAGAAACGATTAAACCGTGACATTTGAGAGATGATTTCCCAGCTTCAATTTTATTTTCTCGTCATGCAGTGACTTAACAGAAACTTTTCAACACTTGAATGTGCAATAATGCTTAGCCTTACAGCTTGAACGTCGATCTATACATACATTTGTGAACTTTTATATTTGCTTGAATCTAGTATTTCCTTGTTGAAGCCAAAATAGCCGATGATCATTAATGACAAGATGGATTTAAAAATCTCGTTGCACTTGTCTCTTCCAATTTCCAAATTGAATTACGATAATAGTTGGAGAAATTCACATAATTCTCGATTTTTTAGGACAATTCGGAAATTGTATTATTTTATAAGAATGCCATTATATGAGTTCATGAAATTTTGTGCCCTCATTTCATCTTTTCGTAGACCAAACAAACCTTCGAATTAAATTCATAAAGAGAAAACCACATTCAATTATATCACTAACTTCTCCAACAATATTTTAAACATTCCCCTATTATTTTAACCATTCCCCTTTTAACCATTCCCATTCCCCTATCACTAACTTAACCAACAATATTTTAACCAATAAAATTCGATGTTACAATGTTCTTCATTTATCTTAACCTATATTTCCTTCAATAAAAAAAAGTACTTTGCTATACTATGAAAATAAATACTATGATATAGTATTTATTTAGCCCAACACAATTATCAACTAAAATTCATGGCAGTAAAACTCAAGATATTCCTGTCACTCAGTGGGAGCAGGAGCAGCTGGCAGCATCCTGGCAGCGCGGCTGGCTGAGACAGACGCGCGGGTGTTGCTGCTGGAAGCGGGGGGGCCAGCGCCCCCCGAGACGTCGGTGCCGGGGCTTATGCCGCTCACGCTGGGCGCCGATGTTGACTATCACATTAAGCTGAACACCCCGCCTCATCTCCAGCAGGGCTTCCAGGACAACGTCAGTTAAAATCACTTAGTATTTTACAACAAACTTTTGAGGCTGCGGCGGTATAGTACCATTAAAGAATGCCACCATGAATACTATGTTACTATTAGTACCAAACGTTAGGGTATGGTATATGGTACGGTATATTATGACATGGCTTCAACAGCAGCGACAGTTCAACCGAATAATAATTCAACCGCCCAACGTTCTGATTGTGAAAGAATTTTCTGTTTGTCTGGTTTGTTTTAATATTTCTAAATATAAAGTAACTCAGTATTTAAGTAAACGAATGAATAGACGAATAGACGATCATATAGAACGTTTTTATTTGCTGAAAAACGCAATTAACGTCAGATTGCTTGGCTATCTATGATCACATGAGTTAGAGATGATAGGTTTGGATATCGTGTGCATGTATTAATAATTTGATAAAGTATGAATACGTTTTTAATTACAGCTTTTGCTGTCCAATTTATGTTTTTGGATTCAAATTTTGTCTTATACTGTATTACTTCCGTCACATGATGTCGTTCCCTGTACTAGATCTTTAAAAATTCTCTACTAGTATAACTATTAATAATGGTATCGTTAAAAAAATTTCAGTCTTCCTTCCTGAACATTGGTCGTACGATGGGTGGGGGAACGACCATCAACGCGATGATATATTGCCGCTGCCATAAGCTCGACTTTGACAGCTGGGCCAACCAAGGCAACCCAGGCTGGGACTTCGAATCCGTATTGCCGTACTTCAAAAAATCCGAAAGATACACCGGCATCGTCAATCCTAACACAGGTAGGAATATTAATTGTACCTGAATTAATCAGTAGAACGATTGAAAATACCTGACTATGTAAGTAAAGTATACTAAAAATCTTGGCTCATGTCAGACTCACAAGTCACGATGGTTTTAATAATAGATATCTATATTTTTATAGTAAATATAGATATCGTATGCTAATACATTATATGTAAATATCGTACGAATGCTCCAATCGTGCCTGATGGAGATTGAATTGATGAATCAAATTTTGTAATGGTGAATAAAGGATATTTGATTCAGCGGACTTACGTTTACGATTCACTGGGCGGAACAGTCTTATTCATATCAGAGAATAATAATTATCTAATTGTTCTCTTTATAATTTTTGCATTTATATTTCTTTGCTTTCTGAAATGCATGACTTGGCTATCGTAAACGAAACACAACAACTGACATAATCCCTATAAAAAGCATAGACATAAACTATGCACGCCAAACAAGCAAGAACAGATTGGAAGGTCGACAATGCTTCAGATATAGAAATCACTGTGTTTGTTTTGTACTACGTAAATTACAATAGAGTAAGCAAGGTTCTAAATTGATACATGCAAGTCATTGAGTCAAGAATTCCGTATTGGAAAACGGGCACAAGGCTGGCAAACAAAACTCATAATAATGCGTTTATTCGAGGGATTGATGCGTCATCTGACGTCTGACGAAAGTAAAAGTGGTCAATCTATTATCAAGGTATGACTAAAAAATATAACTCAGTACTCATTGCAGTGAGTGACAGAGAGCGCATTTTCTCGTCGACGAAAACGTGAAATCACGGTCGGACAGATAGACGGACAGATGGACAGACAGACAGACAGACGGACGGACATGGCGAGCACAATAGCGCCTTTTTTCCATAAATTAGAAATTGCGCTAAAAACATAGAGAAAAGTCATAGGCGTTACAACTGCTGTTTGGATCACCGCAATAAAATATTTGACCGATTATGATGTGAATATAGATTGTTCGGGCTGTCTGATTAGTCCATGAATTTATTTTTCTTCACTCTGGGCTTACTTTTGATTCTAAATTGAAAGTTGAACAAAATTCTACTTTAATTTCTGGCCCATCGCGAGATCTACAAGGTCGTGCCACTGTATTGTGTTCTACGTAAACAAATGAGTTGTTCTTCAAATAAATCATTCATGAATAATTGTTAAAGTTATTTTGAGCATAAAATTTGAAATTAGAAAACTTATACATTTATGAAAATAATTATCTTTTTATTTAGCTACGTACGAATTTTATAGGCAAATTTTCTTACAAGTGTGCAAAGCCGAATTGAATCGGGAAACGAAATTTTCAAAGGTGGTATCAATCAATGTCCAGCTCATAATTTACTATGTAAATGATCATCCAGAAGAAAATTGCGATTTATTACGTTCATTGCAGAGAAATACCACGGAAGGGACGGACCAATAAGCGTCGGGCCGGTGTCCTTCAACTCGACTGCGACGGAGGCCTTCCTGAAGGCTGGGAGAGAACTGGGGTACGACGTCGTGGAAGAGGTGGCACCCACCAGATCAGGTGAGTGGGGGAGTGATGTTGTGGCACCCACCAGATCAGGTGAGTGGGTGAGTGATGTGGTGGAAGAGGTGGCACCCACCAGATCAGGTGAGGGAGGAATGTTGTTTTTACGAGCTACGGCTTTCTTTAAAAACTTATCTTGCATGTTTGACAATAATTCTGAATGATCCGTTATTTTCGATAGTTTCCGTCACTGAAGTTGTACTCTCCTCCAAGGGTTCGTGCTTCAGTTGAACAGCATTGAAAATGGAGTGCGTCAGACGACGTCCGAAAGTTTTCTTCGGCCCATCGTCAACAAGTCCAATCTTTTCGTCTTGAGTGGAGCTCCTGTCACGAAGGTCCGTTCAAAATTTGAAATTATTTAAATAAAGCTAGTAGTATAATAAAAAAGCTTCTCTGATAAAATAATAATGTATGGATTTCAAAATATAATAAAGATTATGAATGCAGCTATTGAGATTTGTTATTCGACGATCAAACGGCAATAATTTCACTTAATTTTTCGATGAATTAACAAAAAATTTGTTTGGAAATTTTATTTAGATTTTTTCTTTCAGATTTTATTCGACGACAATAAGAGAGCTATCGGGGTGGAATACTTTTTCAATAAGAAGGTAATTGAGAATACTGCATTTCATTACGCGTGATGTTGCTAATTAAACTTAAAAGTTAGCTTGGACAGTAAAATTCTTAATATGCGTACAGCAGCTCAATTAAGGGCAAATCAGCCTAGTCAGTACAATATCGAATGATTCTCTAATGTCGTTTACAACTTGAATTTAAAGCTGTTGCACTTCGAAACTCAACAAAATGCTTGTAGCATAAATTGCCAAAAATATCATGCACAGCCAAATGTAAACCAAACATTTTTAATTTATAAACTGTTAAGTTGGGTTGGCATTTGAGTTCAATGTTGCGGTATTATAATCATCCAGTAAATATTTGTCTGCTGCAGTATAAACACTTAATAATTATACCAGTATAAACTGATGGCTAACTATGCTGTTTTCTGATAAAACACATCAAATTAACGTACTTTCAACGTATCATAATATGTCATTACCTTCCTGTGTTTCGAGCAGAAGTTTGGATCAAAAGAGCTGCTAAATTAATTTAATTCTCACAAAAATTTAAATTATTACAATTTTATTCGTACATTCTCGATCGTATCGGATTGCAAAGATTATTTTAGGAATATATCTTTCTAGATTGTATTTCCCAGACTGAGCTAAACTCAGCTACAGCGTTGGAAAGTTAATGCTGAAATCCTGCCGTTCATTTGTTATGACATTTTTTAATGAAGTATTGAGCAGTGTTGAAAACTTTTCAGAAATAACATTCAATTTGCATATGTAATGGATTTTAAAAAGTAAAATTTACATATAATATTTATTTAAAATAATTCAAGCATCAAGTTTGAACTATCAAATATTCTCTCATAAGCTCGAAAGCATCTGACTACACTTGCGATAATAGGAATCGCATAGGATAAAAATAGTTCCAAAGCAACATCGTGTGATATTCGCGCTTTGCTGCCAGAACTCGAATCTGAAACTCACTGCTCCATTGCTGCCAGCGGATAAATTTTCTAACCAATTTTCAATGTCCTCAAAGCACCGGAAGGTTAGCGTACAGAAATGATAAATTTTCTAACCAATTTTCCATGTCCTCAAAGCACCGGAAAGTTAGCGTACAGAAAGGATAAATTTTCTAACCAAGCGACGGAGGCCTTCCTGAAGGCTGGGAGAGAACTGGGGTACGACGTCGTGGAAGAGGTGGCACCCACCAGATCAGGTGAGTGGGGGAGTGATGTGGTGGAAGAGGTGGAAGAGGTGGCACCCACCAGATCTGGTGAGTGGGGGAGTGATGTGGTGGCACCCGCCAGATCAGGCGAGGGAGGAATGATGTGGTGGAAGAGGTGGCCGTTGAATGATCAAGTGCTAAAAGCGATTTAGCGGACAACTCGCACCTCCCGCTATAAGTGATGTAAAGAAGCATGTACAGGGATGTTAGAGATAGCACCCAGGCGAGTGATTAGCGATGTTGTTAATGATGTGGCATCTACTAATTAAGATATTTGCATTAATGTAGAAATTAGTAAGGGTGGTAGCAGTGCCAGCACCAGCGAGTTTAGGTAAGTAACGTTGATGTGTCACTTACGAAATCAGCGAGAGATTTTTTCCAAAATGCTTCCAGGGTTAACATGTACCCATTCAGTTAAATGAACAAAAAGTGACCGAGCATTGTGGTTTCCTAATAATATCTATCACCAGCTGTATGAAATTATCGGTTTTTAATATGCGATCATCAATATTAAAATGTATTGGCCAGGATTCGTCCTGCAATTGAACACCATCGGTGCAGGAGTGCGTCAGTCGACAGCTGAACGTTTCCTGCGGCCCAACGTCCGCAAGTCTAATCTTTTTGTCTTGACACGAGCCCCGGTCACTAAGGTGGGTATGCGAAAAATTTATAACAAAATTATCGATAAAAACCACTGAAAAATTTAGTGTTGTTGAATTCGACTAAATTACCAAGAATTATAGTTTTTTTTCTTCGTTATTGAATGAACTGCTATATTTTGTTTGCATAAATTTATAAATGATTTTTTATTGCAGATTCTGTTCGACAAAAATAAGAGAGCCATCGGGGTCGAGTTTTTCTCTAACAAGAAGGTAATGTAATGATTTATTTTTTACGGTGAAACGTCTCTTTCAAATGTATGAAAGGTACCGTTGAATTAATTTCAGATGAATTGTGTTGTCTGTGGCTGAGTTTCATCTAGCAAATCTGCAAAAAAACTGAAAACTTGTTGAGTATGAAAAAACTTTCTGTAACTTCAACAAACACTCCATTGTAAGAAATCTATAGTTTACAACAGTTTCCCTATTATTTTGCTACAAATATTATGACTTGCGCAATATAACTGGTAAATGGGTGTAATTTTAGGAACTATACAATTGCGCGCCCAAAAGGAATTAGGTTGGTGGGAACAAAATATCTTTGGCTTCATTTTCGTATCGAATTGAATTTCACGACATCATTTAATGGTCATTAGGCAAAATATCGCTTGAATCGGAGCAAGGAGCAATTCTGAAAATTTAATATATCCTCCAAAGAATCCCATTCCTTATTCTTTTCGAAATTAATTGAAATGCTAATTTGATATCACAAAAAAAAAACTTGGACATTTGATTCTTTGAGCAGGCAGTAACTCTGAAGATTTTTCTTGCCTATTTTCCATGTCCTCAAAGCACCGAAAAGTTAGCGTACAGAAATAATAAATTTTCTAACCAATTTTCCATGTCGTCAAAGCACCGGAAAGTTAGCGTACAGAAAGGATAATTTTCTAACCAATTTTCCATGTCCTCAAAGCACCGGAAATTTATCGTACAGAAAGGATATATTTTCTAATCAATTTTCCATGTCCTCAAAGCACCGGCAAGTTCGCGCGCGGAAGGAAGTGATCCTCGCCGCCGGTGCGGTCTTCTCGCCACAAATCCTGATGCTGTCCGGCGTCGGTCCTGCCCGACACCTTCAGGAAATGGGCGTGAGTGCCATTTAGTTTATAGTACAATAATGACTTTTGCCAATTGCTATAGGCATACCAATGACTGTCGCACAGATTAATAGCGCATTTTTGTTTTGAAATAATTGTTTATTCTGCCACTTTTTCTTGCGTCTAATTCGAGAAACCAATTGAGCATTTGGAGACAATCTATTAGGTATAGGTACTCAGTCAGAATTCTGGAAGAAAAACGCTTAAGTCATAGCAATTGGATTTTTTTTCTTCGTTAAATTCATAAAAGTGACGCTTGTGATGATCCATTTTCACAATTTCTTTTCATTTTTTTTTTTTGTTAATTTTCTTCTCATGCAATGCAGCAACGTAACTTTAATGATCGATTCAAAACCTTCTTTTATATTTCCCTCGGTTTAGAAGTTTGTTGATTACATTTCCTTTCCAATTAAAATCATGTACTTTTATCTCCGCGTGCAGCTAACGTCAGCTGATCAGGAAAAAATACGTTTATTTGTGTATTAAAGAAATCTTTCTTTGTAGACGAGAAGGTGTAGGTCTAGTTATATCTACAATCATGTCTACGACATGATTGTGGTAAGGTGATTATCTACATGGCATGATTATCAAGGTCACAGATAATCATGTCAACGACATGATTGTAATATGATGATTATCTGCTTGACATGATTATCATAACACAGATACATTTCAAAACATGATTATCTGTGGTCATCAATTTGTTTCGTAAAATTTAACTAAACAAAATTAGAAACAGGATATGAAATTCGGTGATAGAAATATTAAGGTATTTTTTTAATAGCCGTTTTTAACAAGTTCAAAAAATAACAGATCAAAGTACTACATAAACTCGAAGGGGTTGGACGCAACTACCAGGACCACGCCGCTATCTACAACCTGCCATTTGCTGTCACTGATGGCGTCACTAACTCCATTTTTGACTTCCTAAGTCCTAAGAATCTGGTGGATTATATTAAGCAAAAATCAGGTGAGGAAAAACATACCATTTTGGTCTACTTACCGTCAGACCGTTCGTTTCAATAGCTAAATATCGAAAAAGAGTTTCTATTATTTGGATGACAACTCAAACTCGTGAAAATTTCATGCACTTTCCAATCATCATTATTATAATAAAGATTTAGGTTTCAAACAATTTTAAATTGTTCGAGATTAAAAAATGCGTGCCTACTGTCTAAAATTTTTATATATTTTAACTTAAAATATTATAGTTACTATCTTGGAGTTATGTAGTTATTAATTAGCGTTAGAACCATATTAAAATATTGTACGTCCATGTGCATGACAATCGAACGCCTCTTGCCTAATAGATCGAATTACCGTTACTGATACACATCGAAAACGAAGAATAACGAGCATTCTAAATTTGGTTACTAATAAATATAGAAATATGTTAACAACACGTATTCAGTATTCATGTACATTCAGGACCGTGGGCCCGACCATTCGGAGTAGAGAGCCCGTCGTACGTCAAGCTGGGAGACGGGCCACTCGACTGGCCCGATGTCAGCGTGCCTCTCATGAACACAGCCCGCAGCAACCTGGGACTCATCGTCGCTGTGTCTGATGGAGACGATCTCAGTTTGGAGGTACAATTACATCGTGTTTATCTTTGGTGTGAACATAATTTTGTGGGAAATTTTCACCGTTGAATTCGTTTACCATCGAAACGAAATGTTTCGGCTTAACCCTCTACCGCCTCACATGAGTAACCGGAACAATATTGTCACAAGCCTACCTCCCAACAAGGATACGCTGCTAGCTAGTGAGCGCAAAATGACTTGCACTGATGTTTGCCGCCACATACGACAACTTTAAATGTTCTCTGTTGCGTACAAACTTCCTCAGGTTGCTACACTCAATAGTTTACGTAAAATTTGAAGTTAGTTACGCAAGTTGAAATTTATGTTCCCGGAGAGTGACATACGGCGGTAGAGGGACTCTACTAATGGAGAGAAGGCTTAAACCAAGCGACCTTGCGTGGTAGTTTGATAGCTCATGCAGGTGCAATTTTATTATTATTGAGCATGGACCTGCGTGCTGAATTCACGATAGTTTGGTCATACGAATTTCGAGCCAGGCCCGAAATTTCGTGCATGGCTCATTTTTATTCTAAACGGGGTGCAAAAACCGTACGTTCACAATCCAAAATCTGAACGAGAATGGCAATCTAAATAAACGATTTTTTGGAATAACATATGATTCAATAACATCTTATTCGCAACAAATTATTAACTGGGAATATAGCTACAGTATGTTTGCTGAACACGAGGTGTTGTTATGCAGACCTTCGAACGGTTGCTTGGTTCGCTGAAGAGACGATCTATTTTATATCTTCTACAATCTATTCTAACTATAATCCCAGACAATAGAGCATAGTTGAAACATTTTTAACTAAACGAAAAATATATCTGGTATCCAAGATATATTTTCTAGACGTTATCCTACGCTTTGGAAAACGAGCTGGAATATTTCCAGCTCTTTTGTCCATGCCAGACCTTCAACCGGCTGCACGCCCCGCTCAAGGGTCCAAGACTTGTTTTCCAGACGTTACTCCATAACCACAGAGCCATAGTTATAATAATATTCACCAAACGGAATATATTTTCATGCCAGACGTTCGACCGGCTGCTCGGGCCACTCAAGGGTCGGGACACGATCGCCTTCGTGCCGATGCTCCTGCGGCCCAAAAGCCGCGGTCGCGTCACTCTGAAATCAACGAGTCCGTTTGTTCAGCCAAATGTCGATCCGGGCTTCCTCTCGCATCCCGACGATGAAGAATTACTCATTAGAGGTCGGTTTCGAATACCTTAATTTGAACGCACATCCGAAATAAATAGCGAATTGTTTATTGCATTTGCAAATTAGTAATTTACTTTTTCGACAAAGAGTCACGACTGTTAGTGATTAAATAATAAAGCGTACTGAAGAACACGAATTTTTATTTAAGTATTTTGACGATTTTAGCCTCTTTTTTAAACTGAAAATTAGATGTTCTATAGCAAGACTTAGCAGATTCCTATTAAAATATTCACTTCTAAACGGGGCAGTCAAATTAAATATTAATCTTGTATTCCAGCGATCCGGTTTTCTTTCTCCATTGCCAACACCAACGCCATGAAAGCAATTGGAGCCAAATGGCTTTCCAAGGTAAATACTTCAGAAATGTTTAAACTTTTATATAGGGGAATTTAAAAGTTGGATAGTGTTGAAGCTAACGTAACAATTATGACACAATTTTTTCTACTGGTGAGAAAATAACAAATATTTATATTTATGAAAAACCAGGTATGAAAAGAAAGAAGCAGATTATTATATTGGCAATGAATTAAGCAAAAGAATCTGATGCCACGTAACGTTCTCAAGCGAGAAATTATTCGTATGCCATCATAATGTATAGAAAATGAGAAAAATCTTGAATTTAATAGAACATTATTACCACTGATTCACTCGTCTATCAGTCCATTTGGAAACCAAACCAAATCTTGTGAAAACAGAATCAAATTACTTATCATAACGGCTAAGTACCATCCTGGGTTGCACAATCAAATCTTGTCAATACAAGACAAATTTGCTCGTCGTAACGGCTAATCACCTACCTTGGTTGTCCAGCCCCTGCGTGGGTGCGAGCAACACCCCGACACATCAAAGTCCTACTGGCGCTGCTTCACCCGTCAGCTCGTCAGCTCCTTCTACCACCCCAGCAGCACATGCAAGATGGCGCCCAGCTCAGACCCAATGGCCGTCGTATCACCAGAACTTAAGTAAATTTTTGTAATTTATAGGATTTTATCGACATTTTTATTGTATATAATTCTTATTACTAAAGATACCTTAATACCCGCGAAAGTCGTGTTGCTTTTTTCAAGCAAGATTTAAGAAAAACCATCTCAACTTGAACTTTTAACAAGCCAAGATTTACGAATGTTCTCTCGATAATAATATCACCTTTTTTCGGGTCCGTGTGTAACAGGACTATGGGCAATTTACTGATAGTTATTTTACATAAATTCATTATTTATTGATCAGGGTGCACGGCTTGAAAAGCCTCCGTGTAGTGGACGCCTCCATCATGCCGCAGATTGTAAGCGGCAATACGGCGGCTCCGACGTTCATGATCGCTGAGAAAGCTGCAGACTTGATCAAGAGGGACTGGGGGTATCCAGTCTACCCGCCATCTTGATTCCGTCTTTAGGCTAAAATAAATAACTATTTAACTGAGTAATCAATTAGTTATTTCTTTATAATTTTTGCTTATTGCGTTCCAGAATATCTGCATTAATTTTCCATCTTGCAATTGGATTAAAATTCAGTTAGACCGAACACATCATATAAAATTCTACGCAATTTATAATATTACCAGGCTCCCGCACTCTAGACCCTGGTAAATTTTTCATAAATATTGAAGTTACCGCTTGCTAGCCTGCTACTCAGCAGTAAGTTGGTACTTGGTAATTCGAACTTATTACATACATTTCGACTGTTGGTATGGAAAAAAATTAAAATTAAAAATCAGCTTTTTACTAGGCCATATTGAACATAACATTGCTGTTCTAAATTCACTTCGAATTCTTTCTTACGCATTATCAATAATTAATACTGTTAATAAATAATTGAATGAGTTCCCATTTTGTTATAAATAACGAACTTGCTTGTACTGCCCTTAGGAACTTATGTGATATATGCTTTCGACGCTGATGTACAAAGTAGATATAGATTTCTAACTTAGGCTGTGCGAGGGGCGAATATAATCTATCAATTGCTCCAATAATCGATCATATTTGCAGGCTATCAGTTCAATTGGAATCATTTGATTAATTAAATAATTCAGAATAAGTTGTGTTGTGTATAAATATAACAGAAAACTAATAATATTTAAGCTGTGCTGAGTTTGGTGAAGAATTTGCTGTGGTTTCGGTAAAGAAATTTTGACGATTGCTTCTACGCTTGTGAATGATGGGGCTAACCGAAAAAAAACTTTTTCTTGCTTGATAACAACGAGAGCTTCATATCTACAGAATATCATATCATTAGGATAACATAGTTTAAGACTGTCATGAAAGTCATATTTAATTACATGATTACTTTTCAAATTTTGTGTCGTCGTCTATTTTACCTCAACGAAAACTTAAATTTTCTTAAATTTACCTCCGCAAATTGCCAAGCAAAGAAAATGCCTAGAAAACTCATCCCATTTTCATAGTAATGGTTTCGGAGACCAGTTCCAACAACAGCAAAATTTTTGGGAATTCGTATTCATTGAAAATATGAAGAATGTTACTATAATTTTCTAAGCGTTCAAAAACTTAGTTATTTTTTAATTTAAACACCGACCTATATAACATTCAAAGTAACGAACAACAATTTATTAGATCCTGATAACTTAGAATTTCCTTGAAATTGACACCGTAGCTTAGATAAATTCTATTTTGCGGGAAGAGACCAACGGCAGATTCTCAGCCAAATAGAAACTCGTACACTCAGAAAAATTAAAGGATATTACTGTCTAAATAGTGATCCACTTTCTGCATATAGCACTGATACAATTTTTTTGATGGACCAAACTTGGTTAGGATGTCCCGTCCTATGTCAAAAAGTGCATCGCTGTTCGGACAACATCTGACACATTTTTTTTAGTTTACCATAAGCCAGGATGTTGCAGCTATCAACGCATATGAATTATAATAGATCTTATTAAGGTTGGTGATAAATTTACTATGGAATCCTTAAAGAACTCAAATACACTTTAGTACGCAGATCATTCATTTTGGGCAGGGTGGGTGTTTTAACCCACTGGGCAGGGTGGCCCAGTGGTTAAAGTTCAGAGGACCAGGATTGGCACAGAGAGGTGCGGGTTCGATCCCAGCTCTGTGCGCCAGTTTCTGGTCAGAATAGGCGAGGAGGCCGGGCGGTTAAAGAAAATTTAAAGCAGTGAGTTGCGAGTTCAAGCTGCGGATGTACTGCAATGTTAAGAATCGGCGACAGGCCGATTCTTAACTATAGTGTTCGAGTACAGCAGTGACCGAGAAATGTGTACCGCGTGGAAAATGTTTCAAAATATTGAGTGTTCAAATGTCGACAGGCAAGTCATGTGAAAATCCATAAGATTTTGAAATTAGCATAATAGAATATACTATGGCGTATATTTTGATAAGCCCGTACATGATGAATGAAAAATAACACAATCTATGTAATACAATTTTCCAAATAATAAAGATTTTAGCAATAAAAATTCTGCGTTCGAAATAAAAACGCCATTTGACAGAGGTTCAGTTAAAATTATATTAAAGTCGCCAACAGAAAATATATTTCACATAAATTGATATCGTAGAGTGTTCAGACTTTATTATATCAAGTAATTACCAACAAGTAGTATAGCAGTAGTAGGATTGTTTGCTAATGCTTCAGCTATTTCACACCGGAGTTCAAAAATCAACATCGCTAGCAAAGGGGAAAATAACAATTATTGAAAATTTCACTAATTAATCAACACCCACAAGGGGCGTATGGTAGTCCAGCCCGCTGAAGCTGGCGCGAAAGAAGCAGCGATAGCATCTCAATGAGAATAGGTAAGAAGGAGGGACAGGTGACAAGGAGGGACAAATGACAAGGAGGGACAAGTGACAAGGAGGGACAGGTGACATGGAGGGACAGGCGACAAAGAGGGCCATGTGGCAAGGAGGGATAGGTGACAAGAAAGGTCAGGTGAAAAGCAACAGAAACTAAGACGCTCGAACAAGAGGTCGCGTCGGCCGCCCGCACGAGAGAGACAGAGAAGATAAATGTAAGGAATCCTACCTACATAATAACTTAATGTAAGGAATCGTACCTACATAATAGCTTAATGTAAGGCATCCTAGCTACATAATAACTTAATGTAAGGTATCCTACTTACATAATAACTTAATGTAAGGAATACTACCTACATAATAACTTGATGTAAGGAATCCTACCTACATAATAACTTAATGTAAGGAATCCTACCTACATAATAATTTAATGTAAGTAATCCTACTTACATAATAATCTAATGTAAGGCATCCTACCTACATAATAACTTAATGTGAGGAATCCTGCCTACATAATAACTTAACCCCACAACTGAGACCTGCAGTCAGACACCGCGAGCTCAGCGATGGGGCGCTCAGGGACAATGTCCATAGGAACCCGAAATCACATAGGACTTCAGACGAGCACAGACACGAGTCTGAAGTCCCCCTTGAAGGGTAAATAATTAAAAAATAAGCCAGAGAATGTAATTATAATGACTTAATTATAGCTTTTGCAGTTATATAGCTGCAACAGTCAAGTTCCATTCCCTCAAGATAAGGTCTGCCGCCTTTTCCCCAATCATGATGGTTGCGGCCATAGGCGGTGCGGAGACGATCTGAGGCATAATGGACGCATCGGCCACTCTTAAACCACGCACGCCGTGTACCCTAAACGAAAAACATGTAACTAATTATTATTTGATAATATTAGTTCGCATTTTAACTGATAAATCCTAGACCAACATTAATTATGTGAATAATTTTTATTCCAAACATTCACAAATAAATCCATGACTGAAAAATATCGTTGATTGTTGTATGTTGGTATCAGATTACAAAAATGTAACAAAATCATTATTTATTATTTAGTTATTTAACAAAAAATTAACATTCCATGACATGTCATGTGGTAGCCTAGCGATCTTGTTGAGCATCGAAAAAAATATTAAAATGTTTTTCACCAAAAAAGATTGCAAATTTCTGAACGTTATGCCAAAGGAGAAACCCATTCAAAGTGATTCTCAGACAAATTAATGACACTTTGTCTAAATATCGAAGCACGACGAAGGGGCGTATCAGTGCTACGTCCGCTCTCTGCTCGTGCTGTGTTTAATTGAGAGTGTCACTATCTCTGGACGGTACGACCTATTTAATTTTTAGTTGAGTGTGTCATTATTTGGACGGTACGATCTATTTAATTTTTAGTTGAGTGTGTCACTATCTGGACGGTACGACCTATTTAATTTTTAGTTGAGTGTGTCATTATTTGGACGGTACGATTTATTTAATTTTTAGTTGAGTGTGTCATTATTTGAACGGTACGATCTATTTAATTTTATAAGCGTAAAAGAACAGCTACAGACTTGAGTTCGTGGGACACAACGCTGAACCTGTCGCTGGAAGGCCCCATGCGGCAGCTCCCCGCGGGGTTGTTGGAGGTTGTGAGGAGGTGGCGTGCATAGCACTCCCAGTAGGCGGGGGAGTTGTCTCCATACTGGGTGCATGCGCTCAGTTTCTGTGGGTGAATGGGTGTGGGGAGTGAAAAAAATGGGATTATAAATTGGTGAAGCATTAGACGGGGGAATGGTCCCCGTACTGGGTGCATGCGCTCAGTTTCTGTGGGTGAAATGGGTGTGGGTCGTGAAAAAAATGGGATTATAAATTGGTGAAGCATTAGGCAGGGGAGTTGTCCCCATACTGGGTGCATGCGCTCAGTTTCTGTGGGGGATTGGGTGTGGTGTAGTGAAAAAATGGGATTATAAATTGGTGAAGCATTAGGCGGGGGAGTTGTCTCCATACTGGGTGCATGCGCTCAGTTTCTGCGGGGGAATGGGTGTGGGTCGTGAAAAAAATGGGATTATAAATTGGTAAAGCATTAGGATTCTTAGGGGTTTAATTAAGCAGTCACCTCTAATTAAGAAAGAAAGAGATGAAAATAACTAAAAAACGTAAAAAGTAATATTAATATTATTAATAAATTAACTGCTATAGAGAGTTTAAGCCTGAGATTTTCGCAAGTTCTTAGGTAAACTTGACGAATAACTTAAGAGTAATATGCTCTGAATTAATTTTTCTTTGTATCTAAGTGAGAAAAGTTGGAATAATAGACTTTAAAGTAGCAATATCAAATAGATTATAAACTGATATTTTCGCAAGTAATAACAGTAATTTTTTTATTATAGCTTAGCATTGTAAACAAAATTAATAAAAGTTATAGTTCAGATCGAATAATTTTTTAACCATTAATTTCATTACTAAGTGCTATTGAGAACTCAGAGTAATTAGCAGGTAATTGTCCATATGTCAATGCAATTTTTAGCTATCTTTGGGTCAGCCTGACCCAGTCTGGCCCGGCAACAGGGCGTATCAGTGCTACGTCCGCTCCCTGCTGGTGCAGTGGGTAAGAAAGAGTCACCATTTGGACAATGACCAATCGATTTCTCTGAGTGAGTGTGTTATTTAATAAATATGTCAGTGTACAATGGAAGTTCAGCGTCTGCATTAAAATTATTTACCTTAGAGATAAATCTGGCTCCGGAATCTCCGTTCATGGCATTTGTGCCTCCAATTTTGAAGGCGTAGCGAATTGCTGCAGAAATGAACTGGGAATTAACTCAAAATTTTGGATGTGAGAAATTCCTAAAGTGATAGTTACATTATAGTAATAGTGGTGTCAGCGTTAAAATAAGCCCTCAATCCTCGATAAATTCTCACAGCTTGCTTTGATTTCGAACTCGCTGCTCCAATCTTCTCAACCACGCGGCCACCTTGCTGATTTGTCTAGAAATGTCGCAGTTTGCTGGAGTTTCAAACACGAAACTCACTGCCAGAATTGAATTGTCACCACTGAATCATTCTGCCGATGATTCTCGTATAGCAATTTCATATTAATTATGCAAAATTACCATGTATAAACATTTATCTCACCCTCAACAATCTAGTTGATGTCATTTATTAATTTGCTATCGAAAATCCAATCGTTTTACTATTAACGAATAAATCCCACCCTCAACGACCAAGTTGATGTCATTAATTAATTGCTATCGAAGACACTATCGTTGTTATTATTAAAAAATTAATCCCACCCTCATCGATCAAGTTGATGCGTCATAAACTAACTTGCCATCAAATATCCAATCGTTGTTATTACTAAATAATTAATAACACCTTCAACGATTAAGTTGATGTCATTAATTAATTTGCTATCGAAGATCCATTCGTTGTTATCATTAAAGAATTAATCGCACCCTCAACGATCAAGTCGATGTCGTGGGGATGAGAGAGGAAGTTGAAGTCGACGATGGGGTCGTGGTCGGGGTTGTTGGAGTTGAGGAGGACCCAACCCCGGCTCTTGGGGCGCAGCAGTGATGGGATGATGTACACGTGGGGAATGCCTTCTAGGGGACCTAGGACTTCCTGCCTTATCTGGGGATTAAATTAGTACTACGTTAGTATTAGGCACTAGTATTATAATTATAGGTATATTGACAAAGTATTATAATATTACAATAAATAAATATTTCTTAAATTATGCAAATGATGATTGAAATTATGTGTAATAAATATAACTGAAAGTCGCCAATGAGTTGGAAAAATGCTAGTAAACAATGAATCAATGGAAAAAATGTCTGTTTATTTTATAAACTACACCAATAATCTCTATAACCTAATCTCCTTTGCGGGTCTAGAAGGCTTTCACACAAGCAATGGTACCTGAGAGACTACAATATCTATTAATGATGTAATTAAAATTTTATTCAAGTTATTTTTGAGACGAAAGGTCACGTTAATGAAATATTATTTTATTCAAGCTATTTTTTAGACGAAAGCTTAGTCTGTGGGGCCACGTTATCATCGTGCATGTCCCAATCGGATCTTTTGGTGGATATCTCTTGGGTTAAATAATTCAGGAATTTTAAAATTTCGAATTTTGATTAAACTTGAATCTTGGAAATGAGATTTTTTGTCCCGAAGACTTCAACAGATGTCGTCACAGTTCTTTAATGCCCTCTGCTGTTTGTAAAACAGTAAAATATAACTCAGTACTCACTGCAGTGAGTGACAGAGAGCGCATTTTCTCGTCGACGAAAACATGAAGTCACGGACAGACGGACAGACAGACGGACAGACAGACAGACGGACATGACGAGCACAATAGGGCATTTTTTCCGTAAATGAGAAAATGCGCTAAAAAATGAATTTTTCAAAATTATTCACTCTGTCAATTGATCCATTCATTGTCTCAAATTACGCAAGTATGCAAAATTCCAGATCGATTGGACAGGTAAGAGTGTGTTAAATATAGATTATAAGATCTGTAGAAGACAAAATTATTTGTTCAATGTTTTTGAATTAAGAATTTTTTTCTAATTTTTGAAATGATATATTCTGTCAATTGATTCATGCATTGTCTTCGACTTTTAAGCAAGTGTGCAAAATTTCAGATCGATTGGAGAGGTTGAAGTGTGTTAAATATCAATTGTAAGATTTGTAGCAGACCGACAAACAAAAAGTGAAGTTAAAGAGAAGTCTTGTAAAAATGAATGGGTCATGTTGTCAAAATAGCGACATACTAATTTCTGCGTGTAGCACTGATATGCCCTTTAGCTGGGCCAAACTTGGTTATGCTGGCCCACATATGGGCAAGGAGTGCATCGCTATCCGGACAAATTCTCTAAATTTTTCGGAACATTACATTATACTTGTTCTTCAAATCTACATATATTTCGAGCTTACTTCTTCTCTAAGCGACAGCCTGACGGAATCAGAGAATTTCCCAAAATCTAAAGGCGAGCTGAACAAGACGAAGTGAACGTTCGGCCAATTGCTGTCAGTTTCGCCGAGGTTGATTTTGGCCGTCCCGTCGACTCCGTAGGGCCGGGTCAGGAGACCTGCAGTGAGAAGAAAATACGTGCGATGATTTGTTTATAGTATTCCCTATGGAAATCGTGTGGAATTTGATTAAAAGTAGTCCGTATGAAAACGTACTTTTATTTAAAAAGTTAATTACAAACATAAGGTATTACGTCCGCACGAAATACGTAAAGAAATTACACACAAGGCTAGGCAGGATCTTGATACACAGACACACTTTAAGTCATAAATGTTCACAATGTTGACGTGACCATTTAAACCGAAAAAATAATTTTGCGGGATTCTTACTTTTCGTAATCTGTGGACAGCAAAATATTATTTTGTGATCTCACCTTCCCTCGAAAAAAGGAAACGTTTCCAATTTTCAAATGATAATAAGCTCTTGAGTGAAGGCCCTGTCCCGTTGGCGACCGCAAAAGGCAAGTGAAAAATCGTGTGATGATCTTGCAGGTTTTGTCCAACTCCTTCTAGGGGCACTAAGACTTTGATCTGAGAAACAAACAAGTTACAGTTTATTCCGGTTAATAAGGCCAATGGTTTATTATAACATCCGCATAGCTGGGCAAAATCCTAGAGCATCGTAACCGTATTTTTCTATGTAAGGTCGGTCATGTTGATTCAACCTGTGGCTTATTTGGACAGAATCCTTGAGTCCCGATGTAGTATTATAATATAATATAATGTAATATAATATAATATAATAAAATATAATATAATATAATATAATATAATATAACATAACATAATATAATATAATATTATACAATATAATATAATCAGCAACTAGACCCTGGTGGACCGTCACGTAATTTTTAACCCCTCGGCCTAGGCCACCAGCCCGAAATCGACATGCATTTTTAAAACTGGCAGCGAATTTCGAACGCTCGACTCGCTGCAAAATCTTGTTGATTTAAACCATTCGAAAAGCGAATGGAGTATTACAATTAACCAAATTAACTGTATTCGAGGCCATAGAACGCCGTACCCTTTTAGAGACCAGGTGATTCTTAGGACCCACGCCCGAGAGCATGAGCAACTTCGGCGAGTTGAGGGCGCCTGCGCTGAGTATCACCTCTCTGCGGGCCACGACAGACTGCAGCTGCTGAAAATATACAAGCATTTTTGAGCGACGATTTTTTTGTAAATGAGAGAAGCTGGGGTGATGATTCATGTGTTATATTTATATAGTAAAAAAACAGTTTTTATTACTGCAACGAAAATGAATAATCATCAAAATAGCATTCGGATGTTGGAGCAGCGGTGAGGAAGAAAATTTTCATAGTCGATCTTGACTCTTTATTTTAATGATTTCAGCTATATATAAAATTTTGAGCTTTTTTTAATTGATGATTTTTAGAATTGTATTTTCATCGGTTACATATAATTTGTAATTCTTTATTGCAGAAATTAATATTCACTCACCCCTCCGCTGCTGTACGTGACGCCGTCAGCTTTCTTGTTTTCATCGAAGAGGATCTTCAAGTGAGAAAAGAAATCGATAACAACGTCATTTGATGCATAAAAAAAGTATATTATCTCTTAATTGAGAAATTTGTACCAAATATCCATTTCTACAGCCTCTTCTAGCAGTCAGGATACCGTTATTGCAAATTTCCATCCTTAACTACGAAGATAAAACAAATCACTTAGAAGATAAAATTCTACGCTGATTACTAAATAATTCTATGCTCTGATGAGTATAAAATTCTACCCTTGGTATTAAATAATTTTATGCTCTGATTAGTATAAAATTCTACGCTGCATGATTACTAAGTAACTCTATATGTTCTGATTAATTTACAATTCTGCGCTGATTACTAGATAATTTTATAATCTGATTAATAAAAAAATCTACACCAATTCAAAACAACTAATTTTTCTTCATTGATGACACTTGCGCACTTTTATTTGCATTGAAATCAAGACTTCCTGTTATTTTACTCCATCGATTATAATCATTTTAAAACAAAAATATCAATTTCAATTTTAATCGTAAACCTTATAAATATAATAACGCTAAATAAATTATATCAGTCGCGCGGGTTATAAAATAACAGTTTTTCTATTGTTACAATGTTTGTCACCTTGACAGTCGAGCAGATTTTAAAATAATAGTTTTATATTGTTACAATGTTTGTCACCTTGACGACAGTCGCGCGGGTTTTAAAATAACAGTTTTTAAATTGTTACAATGTTTGTCACCTTGACGACAGTCGCGCGGGTTTTAAAATTACAGTTTTACAATGTTTGTAAAGGTGGTTAAGGCGACAATGTTTGTCACCTTGACGACAATCGAGCGGGTTTAAAAATTACAGTTTTTAGATTGCTACAATGTTTGTCACCTTGACGACAGTCGCACGGGTTTTCACATGCAGTACGTTGTTCGAGCGACTTCCAGCGATGTAACTCTCGGCCGTTGTTCCCCTCCGGCCGTCGCGAATAGTGAAGTGACCGTCAGAAAATCCTGTTTGTAGCCACGAATTTTGACTTATTCAAAGTAAAAATCAAAGAGGAAATTACATATACAAGTTCCCATCCAAAGGCGCAAGTTCGCAAAAATTAATATTGAAAATCAAGGTGAAATTTACACAAAATCCTGTTCTTAGGCGTGCGTTCATGCTAATTCAATTTAAAACTCGAGAAGTAATTTACGGACATAGAATCCTGTTAAAAAACTTGACATATTATCTTGAAATACAGTATTACTGATTTTAGATGAAATGCCCATAACCAAAGGCTGCTATAGCGAGTGGACGCACCGACGCCTTCTGGTGAGCTGGAGCTGAGAACTCCATGTCCGAGCTCCATGCCGGCCCTGAGGAAGTTCCGGCCAACTGGAGTGCGGAAAGACTTTGGAGCAATGCGGAACGGACCTTTGCTGCCAAACCCGCTACCTGAACAATCGATAATTGAAATAATTTAAGCAATAAAATAGCTTGAAAACAATTTAAAGTTCAGTTCAAAACGTGGAACAAGAAAGACCCTTCAAGGCCCAAGCACTTGATTGACGGCGAAAAGAAATGAGTTGTATTTCTGAGACGAGACCGAAAATAAGTTTTACCTGCGGGTTACAAACGCGTGGTATTAGAGCGAAAGTGAAATTTTAAATTCTCCATTTTAGCACTCGGTTCATAATTATTATGATAATAATTCATAATTATTTTCCGTCGTTTTAATTATTGAAATCTTAACAAATAAAAGTCAGTATTAAACGTTGTACAACAAATATAAGTAAACAGAACCGAAGCCCTTTTATTTTGCTATACAATTTTAACTTCTTCCAATCTTTTAATCTTCTAATTTCAGGAGAACGACGAATTTGTAAACAATGCGAGTAGAAAAACCAAACAAAAACACGATGAATCAGCCAATGCAAATAGAAAAATCGAACATTTCACACGTTGAATCAGCCAATATAAGTAGAAAAATCAAACTTCCACACATTGAATCATCCAATACATGTAGAAAAATCAAACTTCCACACATTGAATATTACCTCGCCCGTTGAGTGACATTGACTCGTTCATGACAAATCCCTCGAGCTTCTGGAAGTACGGCACCACGTCCTCATAACTCCAGCCCGGGTTGCCCATGTCCGCCCAGTTGTCGAAATCCTGGGCACTGCCGCGGGAGTAGATGTAGTAGCTGATGGCGCTGGACCCGCCTAGTACTTTGCCTTGAGAAATGTGTGATGCCTGTAGGGAAGTATTACCGTATTAATCGATTATTACCTTGCCCTGAGAAATGTGTGATGCCTGGAGGGAAGTATTACCGTATTAATAGATTATTACCTTGCCCTGAGAAATGTCTGATGCCTGGAGGGAAATATTACCGTATTAATCGATTATTACACTGCCCTGAGAAATGTCTGATGCCTGGAGGGAAATATTACCGTATTAAGTGGCAATCACTTATCCCTTCATAAACATTGCAATATTAATATGATAATTACTTTGCCCTTAGAAATGTGTGATGCCTGTAGGAAAATATTACAGTATTAATCGATAATTATTTTATCCTGAGAAACGTGTGACGCCTGTAGGGAAATACTACCGTATTAAGTGACAATCATTTATCCCTTTATATACAAGCAAATACTAGATTAACAATGAAGTAATTATAGGTTAAACCCGCCCAGCACATTACCCGGAGAAATGTTTGATGAATGTAGGGAAATATTACATTATTAATCGATAATTAATGCGCCCTGAGAAACTTGCGACGCCTTTATAGGGAAGAATTACATTTTTAATTGACAATTACTTTTGTCTTGAGAAACGTTCGATGCCTGTATAGAAATATTAAAATATTAATCGATAATTACTTTTCTCTGAGAAACATGTGATGCCTATAGGAAACAATTACACTATTAATATGCAATTAATTTTTAGTACTTTCCTATATTGTGGTTTTCTTACTGAATGAGAATTTATTAACCCTGTACAAATCATTAATTAGGACACAAATTTTGAAAAATCTCGATGCTTGCTTGTTCGAAGAATTCGCCAGAAGCTTTTCATTTCATAAACCTACTTAATCCTAAGTTGGCATCTAAGAGTGCATCACTAAAATATTACTGTAATTTCGAAATAAGTTTAGTTTTAACTTATTTGAAATAAATTTTCAGTCTTCTAAGACGAAAAAACGGATCTCTTAAAATGAATAAGCTAACCTTCAGATCTGACACCAAAGTTATTTCAAATGAATAATCCAGCACGAGATAATTAAATGAATATTCCAGCCTTTTTCCATATACATTTTCAGCACCTCCTGTAAATACCTCAGCAGCCTTGCTTCACGATTTGGACTCTCATTTACAGCTTTAGACCCATAATTAGCTTAGGACCCAAATTTATGTTTGGACTCTCATTCAAATTACGACCAACAATTGCTTCGGACCTTCATTCAGCAGAATTCTTGCATTCAGCTTTGGACTCACATTCAGTTTTCACCAATATTTAGCTTTGGATATACATTCAGCATAGTACCCACAATCTGCTCAGGAATCACATTCAACTTTAGACCCACATTCAGCGTTGGGCCCATATTTGGTTGTGGACCCACATTCAGCTTAGTACCCACAATCTGCTCGGGACCCACATTCAGCTTAAGACCCCATTAATCTTAGGACCCACATTTAGCCCTCGACTCGCATTTACCTTAGGACTCACATTAATCTTAGGACTCACACCTGTGACATACATTTTGCGCAAATCCTTTCTGCGAGAAGGGTTGCGAGGCGAGACGGTAGTCCCAGTCCATGTCCCCGCCCAGCGCTGCAGGCCAGAGTCCCGGGACGGTCGATTCAGGGTGCGCGGCCGAGCCTGCCTCCAGCAGTAGCACGCTGGCACCCGCGTCAGCAAGACGTGAGGCGATCACGCAGCCACACGTGCCGCCACCAACTGACTCGGTAAAAAGTGGGTAGTAATACTCAGTAGAGAGTGGGAAATAATATATGCAATAAAAAGTGGATAATAATATCCAGTAAAATGTAGGTAATAATATCCAGCAAAAAGTGAGTAATAAGACCCAGTATAAAGTGGAAAATAATCCCAATAAAAGTGGGTAATGATACTTGAAGGACGAAAGCATGAGTGTAAAGTAATCCTTAATATTTATGAGTACTGTCACCGAATACTAACAGGGGAAAATCACAGGAAAATAAAATCAAAATTGGTGATATTGCATGAATGAAAAAATTTGAGAATTAGGAAGTCTACAATTTTTGTTTGCACTGTCAAAATAAAGGAAATGGATCGCTATTTGTGGGGGGAGGGGAGGGCGAAGAAAGTGACGCCCATCAAAATGGGCCATATTTCGTGGGTGGAGAAAATATCTCTTTTCCCAGCGATTTTAAATATTTTTGCTGCTCAAGACACGAGTTTTGAATCGTGAAGCAGGAATGTAATATGATATTTAACAAACTGCCCAACAGTTTACACAACACGAGCAGGGAAAATTTTTTAGTCTAACTCGATTTATTGCAAGGAACTCGTTCATCGCTTCTATGCTATTTGTATAGTTTATAACACAGTTTATATAATATTATAAACTGTGTTATTATTATTATATATAAATATAAGCTTTATTATATAAAGTCTATAATGCAATGAAGGATGCGTCAAATAGAGTGCAATTGCAAGATGATCTTGATACTTTTGTTAACTGGGCTGATACGTGCATGCAGCTGCGGTTCAATGCTGACATGTGTAAAGTACTTCACCTCGGGAAGAACAATGAACAGCAAGATTACAGTATGAGAAGACATGGTTGCAACGAGAGAGTAATGATTGAAAAGTCTAGTGTGGAAAAAGATCTCAGAGTTTATGTCGACAAGAAGCTGGAATTTTCTAAGCATGTTGAAACACAAGCTAATGCATACAATAAACTTCTTGGTCTAATCAGACGCTCTTACGAGTTCCTAGATGCAGAAGCGATTAAGCAGTTGTTTGCTGCTGTCGTGCGCCCGAATCTAGAGTTTGGAAACGTTGTGTGGTCACCGAGATTTGAAAAGACAAAAATTTAATAGAGAATGTTCAAAGACGTGCAACAAGGATAATTCAAGGCTTGAAGGGCAAGTCCTATGAAGAAAGATTGAAGATTATGAAGCTTCCAAGCCTCAGTTATCGACATCTACATGGGGACCTCATTGAAATATACAAGTATACTCATGGTTTGTACAAGTTCCTCAAAAGATTACTAGAATTTAGAACAAGAACCAACACCAGGGGCCACGGCTATAAACTAAAAAAACTGCGCTGCAACTTCTCCACGCGACAAAATTTCTTCTCGCTTCGAATCACCGACATGTGGAACAGCCTCCCCGATGACATCGTTGGCGCTCCAAGTATGAACGCGTTCAAGAACAGACTAGATTACAGTATGAGAACCCATACGCAGCCAATATAATATTCGTACCCATATCACAACTATTGTGTTCATGCCCACACCACAACTATGGTATTTGTATCCATACCATCACTATGGCATTTGTTCCCACATCACAACAATATGGCATTTGTACCCATATCACCACTATGGCATTCGTACCCACACCACAACTATGGCATTTGTACCCATACCGCCACTTTGGCATTTGTACCCATACCACAACTATGGCTCTTGTACCCACACCACCACTTTGGTATTTGTACCCATACCACCACTATGGTATTTGTACCCACACCACAACTATGGCATTTATACTCACACCACCACTATGATATTTGTACCCATACCACAACTATGGTACTTGTACCCACACCACCACTTTGGTATTTGTACCCATACCACCACTATGGTATTTGTACCCACACCACAACTATGGCATTTATACTCACACCATCACTATGGTATTTGTACCCATACCACAACTATGGTATTTGTACCCATACCACAGCTATGGCATTTATACTCACACCACCACTATGGCATTTATAACCATACTACCATTATGACATTTGTGCCCATACCACCAATATAGTATTCGTACCCACACCACAACTATGGAATTTGTGCCCATATCACCGCTATGGTATTTGTAACCACACCACCACAATGGTATTCATACCCACAATGAAGTCATATGCGTCCAGTATGGTCGGGTCAGGGTATCGCTTCGGCGACTCGAACAGCAGCAGCATCAGCAGCAACCGCAGCAGCTGCAGCAGCGGCCGCTGCAACAGCAGCTTAATGCTGCTCACACATTCTTATGTCATTAAAACAAATATAATTTTATTTGCACCATTGATTTTTCATGGGTGATTTTTGGAAACAGAAAATAATTTGCAAGCATTCACTTCATCATTCAATAATTTCATTTTAACTTAGGTATTGACAATTCAATTTAATAATATTAAAACAACGAAATGACCTACAACGACGAAATTGTGAAAATATTATAATATAATTTAGGCATAGTATAGGTGTTTTTTTTTTAAATTTAGTTTTAATCACTCTTTAAAGGAAATTGCTCAAATTTAGGCCATAATAAATGCCCATACACTTACTTAGGAAGGGTGATCATCGATATCCATGTTGCAAAAGTCATATTGAAGTATCAGTGACACACACAGCTACTAAACTCTGAATACTCCACAAAAAAATTGTCTTATATATCACACAACAACTGTGCAACATTCTAAAGTGCGCCACGAGTACGTATAATTATCATCACAAGTTATAAATATCTTGCGAATGCACATTTTTCAAGACACAGATTCTAATAACCTTTTTATTTGCATAGAAAAAATTCTTCTCAGTAACGGTACAAGGTGCGGCGTATCGATTGCGGTAACCAATACTTCACTTCAACTCTCACAATTTGTGATCACATTGACAACTCTCAAAGTTTATTTTGATATTGTTGTAAAAAATTGATCGTCATTCTTCAGTTTTCCTGCAGCTGACGATAGTGAATATTTCGTCCGAAATTGCCAAAAATCTCATACGTAATTCATGCTAACACCGATTTCTTCGAAATGCTTACTCAGATTTCATGGTAAACTTACTGAGTTTTTTATCGAATTACCAAGATTCCTCGGCCATCAGGGTCCAGTAACTCTTTACAAGAAGCCAGTATTATGATAATAAATCACATTTATCAATTCGAAAGTTATAATGGCCGCCACTATATAGCGGCGTGGTGTCCACACATCCAATGACTTCCCTAACAAAGTTTAGAGTCGCCCCAGCTTCTGGTAATCCAAATTAGAAGCTGCCTCGTCTGTGAATTTTCACTGGGTAACAAAATTTAGAGTCGCCCCAGCTTCTGGTAATCCAAATCAGAAACTGCTGCGTCTGTATATTATCACTGGGTAACAAAATTTAGAGTCGCCCCAGCTTCTGGTAATCCAAATCAGAAGCTGCCTCGTCTGTAAATTTTCACGGGTCGCAGATCATTCGACTATATGTTCATCCACACGCTACCAGTTGCAGGCTTCGAATGAGTGACCTCAGCCTACTGTGGCTTACAAACGCGTCCCGCTTGCCTTGGCAGCTTCCAAACTTAACCAGTTTTTACAGCAACCGGGCAAAGCGAGTATAAGAAACATGAATACGAAATGCATTCGAGAATCGTATGTATTGCTCACTGGACTTTCGTTGACCTTGCTTGTCGTTACTCATTGTACAGATAGGCAAAGGCAAAGGCATCGGTCTTGGGCGAGAAAAACTTGCAAAAAATTAAAGTGTGACTGAAGCCTTGGCAGATGTTATTTAGTGTCAAAAAAAAGTCCGACGGCATGCGTTCAGTATTCATTATTAGAAAAATACTGAGAAAAACCAAATAATAATAGAACTTATTTGAATAAATAAGGCCTAGATGTGGAATGAATTTCTTCTTCGTACACATGCTGAGAATTTTAGATCTGTGCTGATTGAAATTGTAATATCACGATTCGTAAAGAATGCTCGGATAAATTATTTTGAAGAATATTGAGTAATGATTTTGATGAAATTAGCCGTAGTAAGTCTCGGTCGACTAATAAATTACGATGAATTTTGAGGAAATTTAGGAGTTAAAAATACGAGTTCCAACTTAAAAAAATATGTATTTTTTAGAAACAACTATAAATACAAAGCAAAAGAAAGATTTAATAATCCCATTTAATCCGCCTTCCTCTCATAGTACGCTATCTTAATTGAATCATCTGTCAACGAGGCTTCCATCTATCAACTCAACTGTTAGTGTTTGATCCTCATATGCCCGATATAATATTCTATTCGATAATTCAAGCTTCTAAATATCCGTTAGTTTAAGTTTCTAAACCTCTTAATAATTTAAGCTTTTAAACACCCGATAAATTAGGCTTCTAAACAGACGATAACTTCAGCTTGCAAACACCCGATAAATTCAGCTTCTAATCATCCGTTAATTTTAGCTTCTTAACGTCCAATAAATTCAGCTTCTAAACACCCGATAATTTCAGCTTCTACTCGATGCACCCGAGGTATCACAAAAAAGTAATAAGTGTCTCTTGAATAATATGCGCATTGCGCACAGCATAAAAATTACACACGTCGCTTTTATCTAAATGAATATTAAAAAAAAATAAAATAAATTTTGTTTGTGGTTTCAGCGATTAAATTGAAAAAAATCATTTTTCATTAATTGGTTGAGGAAAAAGCAAAATAGTGCGATGTCTGCATACGACACAGAGCGACAACTGCCTTGAACTCGACGGGCTCGAACAATTCGACGGCTTCTTATTCAGACCGATTAATGCTCAGAAAAAATACCCACTCAAAAAGTTTTCTTTCATACCTGACCCACATATGTAGGTGCAAGTTTTTTTTTATAGTTTATAACAGCGTTGAAGCGCTAATGCTCAACCGTAAAGCGTAGCTATTCTGAATTAAACGGAAAGTAAACAGAATAGTAAAACGAAACTTAACCCTTTCGTAACTGACTGAATCTTGATCCCAAGCCACTAGGTACAAATAGCATTGTCGACGGTAAATGTATCCGAGGTCAAAGAGATAATTGATTTACGCTAAGGGTAACTGAGTTATTCGCACATGAACATTTTCCGGTCAGATAATTTTACGTGCACTGTTTTCCAACATTTCCCGAGAGAGAACAAATAAAAAAATTGATCGAATTCCCGTCAAATTTTGTGGATTTAACGGAAGAGTTCCGCCATCTTCCTAATTCTCGCTTATGTGATGAATAAAATGCACAATCTATTTCTCTTTATATTGACTTAGAAGCATTTAAATAGAAACATACAAGTTTCTCCGCATTAAGAATAATTCTAACTTATATAGCAGCTCAGATCTTGACGTATTATATATTCAATTACAAACACTTTGTGACGTCATAAGTAATATCTCCGTTAGCCGCAAACTCACTTCTAGCGCGCGATTATATATGCAAACGCAGGCAACTTTCCATGATATAATGACAAGATTTGCTATTATTCTGGCAATATTAGAATGAATAATTAGAAAAGAGGAAGATTCGGATTCGGTAAGTTTGAACGGAACGATTTTTCACAGCACAATGTAGATTCTACACAGAACAATGCATTCTTCATAGCACGATGTAGATCTTTCACAGCACAATGCATATCTTTCACAGCACAATGCAGATCCGTCACAGTACAATGGAGATCCCTCATAGCACAATACAGATCCGTCATGCCACAATGCACATCCTTCATAGGTTGTACAATGACGATGTGTGGCATGAATGAACTTAAAATCCAAATACTCATTTTCCATTCGTAATTTATCATTAATTTCACTGTTAACTATTTATACAACAACCCGTTTTCGTGCTCAAGTTATACGAACTAATTTCTGAACACAGCTGCAAGTGAGAGGCCTGAAAAAATTGGCTTATAGGTACGTCAAAAATTCCACATCAGGAGCTCCTATTTACAATTAAAAATGTTCACTGACGCATTTTGCTGATAGCATTCTTTTCAAGGGGACTCAATCGTTGATCTTCGTTCATATCGAAACACGGGCGACAGAAACTAATACAGGACATTAAATTCGTATGATGGTTCGGAATTAAAGCTAAAAACTGTTCTATACGTTATCAAACAATACAAAATTTGACAGGAATGATGCAACTGTTTTATACGCGCTACGTAGTACCTCAAGGTATACGGTCTGCTGGGATTGTATATTAAGATCTTATTCTTTGATATAATTCCATGTAGCTCAGTTAACTTTTAAATCAACATACATTTAGTAGACGTACTGCACTTAACAACATTCAGGTTTAACGAGCAACTCGCAGACAAATAGATTCATACAACGGCATAAACATATCAGTAACATAATAGGGGTTTCGCCTATATAGGTATAGTCAGATGGGGTAAGACAGGACCGAAATCACTAACAAGCATGTAGCATCTATACCATGAATAAATAAAAAACCCTAAACCTATCACAAGGTGTAGTTATGCAATGGGCTTCTAAGCTACAACTCAGACTTTCTGCATACAACATAGTTTTCTGTACAGATTAAAAAAAGTGAGCTGGTCCCATCTTACCCCACTGGGGTAAGA